TCACTCTGTCGCCCAGACTGGAGTGCAGTGGCCGCTCCCGGCCAGCGCAGCCTCGACCTGCTGGGCTCCGGCGATCCTTCCGCCTCAGCCTTCCGAGTAGCCGGAACTACAGGCGCACGCTACCACGCCTGGCTGATTTTTTTGATATATTGTAGAGATGAGGTCTCGCCAAGTCGCCCAGGCGGATCTTGAACCCGCGGGCTCAGGCAATCCACTCACCTCAGCCTCCCAAAGCGCGGGATGACAGGCTGAGCCACCGAGCCCGGCCGACGAGGACACTTTTTAAAAATTTATTTGTAGTTTTAGAGACAGTCTTGCTTTGTCTCCTAGGCTAGAGTACTGTGGCACGACCTTGGCTCACTCCTGGTCTCAAGCCATCTTCCCAGGGCCTCAGCCTCCCGAGTAGCTGGAATTATAGGTGTGCACCACTGCGCCTGGCTGTTTTTACTTTTTGTAGAGGTGGGGTCTCGCTCAGTTGCCCCGGTTGATCTTAAACTCCTGGCCTCAAGTGTTGCTCCTGCCTCAGTCTCCCATCGTGCTGGCATTACAGGTGTGAGTCACCCCGCCCAGCCTAAGGAAAGTTTTACAACTAAGAAGTATGTCTCCTGGAGCACTTCTTTCCTATTTAACAGCTCTGGCTGCTACAAGTGTTTGCTTGCCCATGGCAGCACGTGAGAAGTATCCTATTCAAGGGGTCTGTGATCCCAGCGACTTTGATGGCTGGGCGGGGGACACCAGGGGCTTTAGTGGGGTTGATGGCTAGGAGGGGAGGAAGAGGTAGGATTGGTCTGCCTGGTGGGCCTGAGGTCACCCTAGACTAGGGCAAAGGGAGTCTCTGAGCCGAGTCTGCAAACTCTCGGCTGGGTCCTGCTTGGACTTCTGAGTTCACCTCTCGATGGTCCAGCCTGGACCTCCAAGCAGCCCTGTCCCATTGGTCCCCCACCCACTGACCCTGGCCCTTGTGCTACCAGCTTTCACATCTGAGCAGCTTTGCGGGTGGGGTCCACACGCTCACCTTCTCTTCTCCTGAAATACGGACCACCCTCATTGTGTCCTCTGCATTCTGGAAGGCCCGGGTTGTCGGTCCCCTCTGAGTGGGCAGTGACATGCTCTGTCTGGATCCCGCCACTCTGATAGTCACAGCTGTTTCATGCACCTCTGTCTGCAGCACCCAGAACTCAGTAAATACTCAATAAATATTGAATGGATGAACAAACTCAGTACACAGTATCTGACTCGGTCACTAAAATGTTCCAAACCCCAGGCATCATCAAAGGTGAGTTCTTAGTCCCCAAGAGCACCGCAGTAGATAGTCCATGAGAATTTGAGTTGTCTTTGAGATTCGCATGGGAGGTGGTGAGCTCCCCATCACAGGTGGTGTGCAAGCTGCAAAGGGCACTCAGCATCTGGCAGGGCTGGGTTCAGTGGGCCAATGGATTCCCCTGGGCTGCTGAGGCCTTCTTGACTGGAAAGTTTTCAGCAAGGACACCTCACATGAAAGCCTGTGTACAAAGGAGCCACTGGGAGTCTGCAGTCTTTGTGTGTGGGGGGAAAGCAGTCAGGGCTTATGTGAGAGCCTGGGAGTGGGCTTTCAGAGTGGCATTTCTGGGGTCCATCTGGGCAGACACTGAAGTCAGTGCTGGTGAGGGCCCAAGGTCAAGGGAAGGCGGTTGATCCTTGCTCTGCAGGGTCGAGGTCTCGGAGACACAGTGATTCCAGGAGGGGAGAGGAGGGGTGGGAGATGGGAAGGCTTGGGGTGGAGGTGAGGCGTATTGTAAGGCAGTCGTGATGGGGGCGCAGGGACATGGGCAAAGACTTGTAGGAAGGAGCATTCTGAAAGCTTCTGGGGAACAGTGGAGGCCAGGGTGGTGGCTGGCTGGAACTGGGGCCTGGGGACGTCCTGCTGACCCTGAGGAGTGAGGGCTGAGAGGGGAAGTCCCTCCCCAGCTTGCCCTGGACTGGGTGGCAGCTGTCACCTGCCAGGGGGCAGGTGGTCTTTTTCTAAGCTCCCATCCTGGCCAGGTCACTCCCAGGACCCAGGTACCCCTGGAAAGGGGGTGTGCTCTCTGCAAGGGGCTCAGCGTTCCTCTGACTCAGCCCAGGCAGAGCTGGATTCCAGTTCCAGAGGCTGCTTGCTGCCAGGAATCCCCTCGCTGGGAGCTGAGACCCCTTAGAAGTGTCCCTGACCCAAGAACTGGCCGTGGCCCTGTGGTCAGTTGAGCCAAACAACCGAGTTGCTGTAGCCCCACTTAGCTGATGGGGAGCGGTGGCTTGGAGAGCCTGGGAGATCTGTCGTGAACTCCACCTACGTGGGGGGCTTTGTCCCGCAAACCCCAGGGCTGGGCCGCCGGAGCCCACCTGCTTCCCACGGCGCTAGGCTGCCCAGCGGCAGCTTCGAGGGGTCCCGGTTGCTGGCACCCTTTCTCAGATGGGGAAAACTGAGGGTCTGTGCCTCTCTGAGCGAGGGTCTTTCAGCGAGGGCAGAGCCACCAGCTTCCCCTTCGTGGTCGCCGCACCCTCACCAGCCCCACCCCAGGGACGAACATTTCCCCGCCACCCCACCCTGGGTTTCCAGGCTCCACCAGACTGACTGGTCCTCTCTGCCTCCGGGCCTTTGGGGGAGGCAGGGAAGGAAACCCAGGAGACTAATTTGTAAGCCCTGAGGATTCACGGCAGCTCACCCGCTTCTGTCCTGCAGGTCTCCTCCCCCGGGTGGGCGGGCAGCTCTGCTTGCTCAGGCCTGTCCTGGGCCTCCGGGACCCCCCATGGTCCTGGGCGTGCTTCTCGGAGGCAAGAGCTCTTGCCTGATGAAGGAGGCCTCTGGCCAGCAGGAGGCCGGAGGCAGGAAGCAGGCATCAAGGCTCCGGATGGCATCTCTCTCCCCCTTGCCGGCCTAGAGCCAGGAGGCCCCGGGGCCAGGCTCCCCAGACGGGCGCAGAACGGCCGTCCACGGCCACGGTCCTGCTGCCCAGGTCCAGGAAGGGGCAGGCGCCCGCCTTGGTCTCGTGGCCTGTCTCCCAAAGCAGGTGGCGGCGGCGGGGACTGAGTTCCGAGCTTCTGTCCCTCGAGCCAGGTCCCCTTCACTCTGGCCGGCTGGACACCTGTGGAGCGTGCAGCTGGCCCCCCAGGGGTTGCCAGGAGAGGAGCCCTGTCAGAGGATGACACGCAGGGCCTGGCCCGAGCTCTGGGAGGGCTGCTTGACCACAAAGGCTCGGGGACACCGGAGAGGCTGGCCGGGGGCAGCCATAGTCAGGGACGACTGAATGGGGGCAGGAGGAGGGGAGCATTAAGACAGGCAGAACCTTCTGGAACCCTTGGAAATAAGAGCTTTCATCCTGGTCCCTCTTACCAGCCTGGGGTGAGGGACTTAAACCCTGTGTGCCTCAGTTTCTCACCTGGAAAATGGGGTAAGGATTGACTGTGAGGACACGCGTTATAGGACATAGCCTGACCTTCTGTGTTTGATAAATGTGAGCTCCTCTTTTTATTATTATGATATGCCCTTTCCCCAAGGCAGGAGATCAGCTGTACCCAGGCCTGAAAGCCCGGGCCCGGCTCTGGGGACAGTTAAGCTCTTAGCTCCTGGGACCTTTGGGCTCACTGCCTGAACCCAGCACTGCCGGCCCTGGCAGCCGGTCAGCCCTAAGGCCGAGCCCGGGATGCCGGGGCTGCCCTGGACACATGGGAGGCCTGCTGGGTGCAGGTGTGGGCTGTGCTTGGCACATCTGCTGGAGATTTCGTGGGCTGGGCCAGGCCTGGTAGGGCCGGCCACATCCATCTGGAGTGTGGAAGGCCAGGACTGAAGGATGTCGGGCTTCTTAATTATGTTTTATTTTTCCTCCCGCTCCATAGATCTTCTGTTTGTCTCTCTGCTTTCTCAACACCGTGGGCATTTTCAGAGCCCGAGGGGCCCTGGGCCGAAGGTGCATGCCGGCGGCCCTGACAGCTGCAGAGACGTGGGCACGTGGGTGAAGGGTTCCCCGTGGGCCAGGCTGGGGCAGAAACCCTCTCGGCGAAGAGACCGGGGCGTGTCTCGTCCTCCCCACTCTTCCCACGAGAGGACTGAGCCTCCAGTAGCTCAAGGGAGCTGGCCGCCGTGCCGTCTGCGTGTCCCATAGGGTGCCCTGACCCAGGGAGCGCTCCCTGACCTCCACGGCCCATGGCCAAGTCTTTCCTAACTGGCTGCCAGCCTCAACTTACTGTGTGTCCTTGGCCACGGGCCCCTTCCTGGGCCTTTGACCCTCGGCTCTGGAGAAACAGTTGGCCCGGGGCTTGCGGAGATCCTCAGGGCTTAGGCGGTCTCTGGGGCCGTGGTTTTTGCCCACCCACTCCGAGTGGCCCAAAGCAGATGCCTGGCAGGGAGGTCCCCGTCCTGTCCTTTGTCCTTCCACACTGCTGCCCGGGCCTGGCAGGTGCAGGGCCCTGGGAGGGAGGCCTATTTAAGGGCCATCCCAGAGCTGTCCCCAGCCCGGCTGCAGCGCGAGGGAGCTCTCCAGACCATGGTAGGCCAGGCTGCCCTGCCTCCCGCCCTGGCCGCCTTCCCCGTGCCGTCTCCCCCGCCGGCCGCCCAGACCTGTGACTCCCACCGGCTTTAGCTTGGGCACTGTGGTCCCCGCCCTCCCACCCCCGGGGAATGTCCCTCCTGACCCCGGCCTCAAGCCTCACCTCCTTCTTCCACTCTGCCCTGCTCCCATGACCTTGACTTCGCTGGCGATTCTGACCTCCGCCCCCTGCCTGAACTCACCCTGATTCTGGTGGATGTTCTTGACCTTGAGTGGGTGCTGTCTGTCCCCGGTCTGATGGCCCGTCAGCCCTGACGCCATGCCCAGTCTGGCCCACCCCGGGCTGCCTTCCACGGGTGGCCGGTCCATCCATGTGGGTCCTGACCTGCGTCTCTGCTTCCCTGGACTGAGCGGGCACTGCTGAGGGGAAAGCGGGCCACGAAGAAGAGTGCGGAGGGGCTGGACGGGCCAGACGCTGGGCTTTGCCGTGGACGCTGGGGCTCTGCTGCCACTGGGAATACTTGGTTCCCGTGGGGCTCGGGGGTGGGTGCTCCCGGCCCGTGCTCCCCTGGCTGCAGAGGAGCCTGCTCACCAGCTCTGCCCTTCTGGCTGTTTGGGCCTTGCCCTGGGCTCCGGCCCGGGGGCTCCCTGAGGGCTCTCGGTCTCACTCATGCCCGCGTCTCACCCGTCTCATTAGCCCGCTTGGCCCGAGAACCCCGACTCGGCTGTCAGGTCTCAGCTCACCATCTCTGACTGCCCGAGGGCCTGTGGGCCTTTGCGCTCTCAGCACCTGTCCCCTCCTCCGCGGCCCTCTCTTGACTGCCTGTCTCTAGCAGGCTGTGAGCCAGCCCCTCAGGAACAAGGACCAGCCTGGTTCAGCTCTGGTCCCCAGGTCAAGTATGTGTCCCGATGCTTTGAGGTGGGCATTCTCTTGCTTTGATAAACGTGAAACTGAGGTCCCAAGCAGGCAAGTGGATTTCTCAACATCACAGAGGCCGTGAGCTTTCAGCAAAGCCAGGATTTAAGCCCAGGTCTGGGTGACCCCTCTCTCTCGGAGATGCTTCCTTAAGGGGAATTTCATGAGGGAGACATTCTACAAGGGGAATTCCAAGACAGCCGGGTTGCAAAAAGTCCTGGACTCCCTCTCATGCGGTAGAGAAAATGACCCCTGCGTCCCTTGTAAGGCTCCGGGACACAGTAGGGCAACGTGTGTCTGGCTTGTCATGAGAGACCGGGAGGGGGACGCCCAGGCCGAGACCAGGTCTGGGAGAGAAAGGGCAGAGTCTCCCGCAGACGGAAGTGATCATTTTTTATTAATCAGAGGGAAATGTATATGTAATTATGTGAGATGAACTCTGCAGGGAAGTTCTTTTCTTTATGATGTCTGAAGGGATTTATAAATATTACAGAGGTTTTACAGCACCATAACGTCCTGGCCGCCCTGCCAGCCCCCTTTCAAAGGATTAGTGGAGACAAAGCACCCAGTAAAAGCTAATTATAAGTCAGCCGGCGCTGCCGCTTCTGATGGGGCCGGGAGCCGGAGGGGTTGAGGCAGGGGGTGGGGACAGCAGAGAGCTGGGGGCAGGGGAGACCACACAGGCGCTGGGCTGGGGGCAGGGGCGTCAGTCAGGGAAGCCCGTGCTCTCCGGTGGGCAGGCAAGGGCTTGGCGGAGGTGCTGGGCGCCCGCGGGCTTTCAGCAGAGGCCTGATGGCGGACTCCTGGGCACCCGGACTCCTGGGGGCAGGAAGGCCAGAGACCCTCCAGCTACTCCGCATGGGTGGTCGCCCGCTCTGCCCGCTGCTGCGTGGGTCCGCCCGAGCTCTGGGCAGCTATTTCCAAGGACAGACTGACCTCCACTCTGAGCCAGATCTGGGGTGGGGGAGGGAGAGACCCCACCCCAGGGATGGGACAGACTGGACTTTGACTTTGAGGTGTCTCCCCTCGGTCGGGGAGACAGACAGGGTGAGAAATGGCAGGACAGTGGTCCGTGCTGTGTGGGTGATGGTCCAAGATGGGGCTGTGTGCGGGGGGGGAGGCTAGGGAAGGCTTCTCGGAGGAGGTGGCACAGAGCTGAAGGGATTTATAAATATTACAGAGGTTTCACAACATCCTACCTTCATACCAGAGGTTTTATATCATCATGAGGGATAGGTAGGATTCTTCCAGCTGGAAGGCAGGGAATGGTAGGGGCAGATGGCAGGAGAGAAGGCAGGTTTGGGGCAAAGTAGAAGCTCTGGGAGGCAGACAGGGGCCAGGCTGGCAGGGCTGAGAGCCCAGATGTTAACCTGAGAGCACTGGGGTTGGTTTTAGATGGCAAGGCCGGATTTCCAGCGGTAATGGGGGGTGGCAGGGAGGAGGCTGGAGCCTGGGGCAGAGCCTGAGGCTGGCAAAGACGCTCCTGCCAGAGCCCATCTGGCCCCGTGGGTGGACTCCCCACAGGGTTGCTGCCGCAGGTGGAGAAACAACCTGATGGCCAGCAAGTCCACCTGTCTGCTGGGGTCTGGGGAGGGCGGGGCTCTGGGAGAGAAGGCTCGGGGGCGGGACTGACCCATCACGGCCTCCCTGGTACCTCCAGGCCCCGAGAAGAGCCCGGAAGAGGGCCGAAGGCGGAGCCAGCTCCAACGTCTTCTCCATGTTTGATCAGTCCCAGATCCAGGAGTTTAAGGAGGTCGGTCAGCTGCCCCCAGGGCCCTGGGGGGACTCACCCAGCGCGTGTCGGTTCCTTGGGGAGTAGGTGCAGGGTCAGCCTCAGTCCCCGGGAGCTAAAAAATGTATTTGTTTGTCTTGAGCTGGAGTTTCACTCTGTTGCCCAGGCTGGGGTGCGAGTGGTGCGATCATGGCTCCCCGCAGCCTCAACCTCCTGGGCTCAGGTGATCCTTCCGCCTCAGCCTCCCTGGTAGCTGGGACGACCCGCATACACCACCAGCTAATTTTTTGATCTTGTGTAGAGACGAGGTCTCACTCTGTTGCCTAGGCTGGCCGGGAACTCCTGGGCTCAAGCAATCCTCTCACCTGGGCCTCCCAGATTGCTGGGATTATAGGCATGAGACACGGCGCCCAGCCTGTGTTGTTTTTTGAGGCCATGCCGCAGGTCCTGGATGTGTGACCTGCCGTCCTTGGGCAGTCCCTTCCTCTCCTTGTGCCCGAGCCCGTGCTTGCTGCATGACCTCAGGTGAGGCTTTTCTCTCTCTGAGCCTCAGTGTCCCTCTCTGTCAACTGGGGTTGCTGTGAGTCTGAAACGAGGCCATGGGCCTGGAGTCCCGCAGCTGGGTGGCCGGAGAGACCTGCCCTGCGGGTCCTTGGGCAACGGTTGGCAGGAGGCCGGTCCTCGGGGGGAGGTGCGTGGGGAGAGTGGCTGGGCTCCGTCAGGCGGGCGCTGCTCAGTGCCGGTGTCTCCGTCAGGCCTTCACCATCATGGACCAGAACCGGGACGGCTTCATCGACAAGGAAGACCTGAGGGACACCTTTGCCGCACTGGGTGGGTGGCGCTGCAGCCAGGGACGCTGGGGGCCAGACCAGCGGAAGAGGGCGGGCAGCTGGGGGCAGCAGGACCGTGGTCGCAGAGCATGAGGGAGGGAGGTTTCTCGGGAGTGGGGAGGGACCGGGCCAGGGAAGGGAGGACAGTGCAGGGACAGGAGCAGCCTGTGGCACAGGAGGGGCCTGGGCATGGGAGGGGACAGGGGAGAAGCTGGGGGGGAGGTTCGACTCCCAGGGCGGCTTTGCCCCTCTAAAGCCCAGAGAAGCCAGGCTCGGTGGCTCAGCCTGCCATCCGGTGCCTTGGGAGGCCGAGGTGAGTGGATGGCCTGAGCCCGCGGGTTCGAGACCCGCCTGGGCAACTTGGCGAGACCTCATCTCTACAATAAATCAAAATCAGCCGGGCGTGGTAGTGCACGCCTGTAGTTCCAGCTACTCGGAAGGCCAAGGCGGAAGGATCGCCGGAGCCCAGCGGGTCGAGGCTGTGGTGGCCGGGAGCGGCCAGGGCACTCCAGTCTGGGCGACAGAGCGAGACTCCGACTCAAAAAAAAAAAATAAAGGCCAGAGAAGGACCATAAGGCGCCCAGGGGGTGGAGGTGGGGGAAAGGTCATAACTCGCTCATCTCTGTGTGGTCCCCTGGGCCTCTGGGAATCGGTATGTCCGCCAGGACCCTGAGGAGTCCCCGTGTCCCCACCTCCAAGCAGCCCACCGACCCCCTCCTGGGACACCATGTGAGCCACCGGCCCGCAGCCCCTGCACACCTCAGCTTTCTCGCCTGCAAAATGGGGATAGAAGCGACTTGCTCTCCTTTCCAGGGAAGCTGGGAGTAGCTGAGCGCCGAGGGCAGAACGCCCCCAGCAGTGTTCCCCGGCAGGTGGCCGGGCCTACGGGCTGAGTGGGGGTCGGGTGGAGGAGCCTGCAGGCCCCTCTGCCACCTGAGCTCAGCTCTGCTGGGCTGCGGCGGGCAGGGTCCCTCACTGGGCTCCTGGGCGCCCCTCCTCTCCCTCCCCCAGGCCGCATCAATGTCAAGAATGAAGAGCTGGAAGCCATGGTGAAGGAAGCCCCCGGCCCCATCAACTTTACAGTCTTCCTGACCATGTTCGGGGAGAAGTTGAAGGGTGAGCCAGGTGGCCAGGGACCCTGGGGGTGGGGCACAGGGCGGTAAGGACAGGTGACAAGTGCCCCTGACACACACACACACACACACCCCAGGTGGGAGCATGGTGTGGCCTCCAGACACCAGCCCCGGGGCGCACACACCTCCCAGGCCCAGCCTCCGTTTCCACCTCTGCGTCACAGAGTGGGGCCACACCACCTTGTCGGCCCTTTGCCCACCACTAGGATGGGGCCTCCGCCTCATCCCCTGCTCCTGGCTCCACCTCCCGACCTGTGGGCTCGTGTCACCAGCTCTGCCTCACTGTCCCAGCTGCAGGGGTGCTGGGGGAGGAGTTTCCCAAAGTTCCTGAGGCCGACCCCAGTGTAGGGCGGGTTAGTCACCTTGTCTCGTTCTGTAGTCACTGCAGCCTCCAGAGGAAGGATCAGGGAGCCTCGTTCACAGACGAGGAGTCTCAGGCTCGGGGGGGTCACGACACCCGCCCCAAGGGCCCTGGCAAAAAGTGGCCGGGATGGAGCCTCAACCCCAAACCCCGGCTCTAGCAACTGCCCTCTCCTGAGACACAGCACCAGGCCTGGGGCAGGGGCCATCTCTGTCCTCTTTCTCCCCCAGCCCTGGGGAGCTCCCTGTAATGACACCCTCGGGCTAGATTGCTCCTGGTCAGGGGGGCCAGCCCAGCTGCGGTGTCCTGGGAGGTGAGCTGCCACCCCCACCCTCAGGCCGCCCCTGCCGACCCCCTCCCCAACCTCCCAGGCTGCGTGTAGGGTCAAGACCTGGCTTCCCACTGCTCCCAGGGTGACCCTGGACAGGTCTGTCTGCTTTCAAGTGGGGTTATGTGAGTTTCCCAAGGCTGCTGTCACAGACGACCCCATACCTGGCGGCTCAGAACCACAGACAAGTGTCCTCTCCCAGTTCTGCAGGAGGAGGCTGAGAACGAACGGTCAGCGGCTCAGCATGGGGGAGAGTCCGTTCTTGGCCTCTCCCGGCCCCTGGCCTCCCATCGAGGCCTCGTGGTCACACGGCCCTCCTCTTCTGGCTAATCTGCCTGCCTCTTAGAAGGACACTTGTCATTGGATTGAGGGCCCACCTGGATAATCCAGGATGATCTTCTCAACGGCCTTAACTTACATCTGCAAAGTCCCTTTTTCCAAATAAGGTGACAATCACAGGCTCTGGTGGCCCTATCTTTTGGGGGAGGCACCTTCCATCCCTCTACAGGGCAAGCAGTGAACATTTTATGGGTGAAAAGTCAACACTCTCGGGGTTGTGCCCCCTGGAGAGTCTGGCAGCCTCCGCACGCCACGTCCTGGCCAGCCTGAAGGCTGGAGATGACACCCAGGGCCAGGGAGGCAGGGGCCCCATCTGGGGCAGGCTTTGAACTTGGGCCATCCGGCTGAGCCAGGTGCCATTGGGCCACCTCTAGGCAGCTGTCAGGGGCTGTTCTCAGGCCCGTGGCCGCCTCCTGGAAGAGCTCAGAAGCCGGGGAGGCTGGGGCAGTGACAGGCACGGTGGGAAAGTCGTGTGCACCTCCAGCCAGCGCCTTCAAAGGAAGCAGACTGAGCGCCTGCCTCTTTCACGCAGAGGAAACTCGTTAAGGCCAGCCGGGGGGGGGCCTGGAGATGTGGCCTTTGGATCTGTGGCGTGGACTGCCCGGGACTGGGCCCAAGAGGCGAGGCAGAGGGCACCTCCTGCCCCGGTGTGTGCCGGAAGTGGGTGAGGCCCCGCTGTGAGAGCAGGGGTCCGGTGAGCCCCTTCAGAAGCGCTCAGGGGAAAAGGAGGGGCTTCTGCAGCTGACGATGGGCCTTGATTCACAGATGGGGAGACTGAGGCCTCAGGCTTGTGTCGGTCGGTGGCTGAGCTGGAGCTGTGACCCAGGGCCTGGTGGGGGCCGCAGGGCTGCAGGATTTTCCCGTTTCTGCAGGGGCGCCGGGACCAGGGCTCCAGCCGAGCCTGTCGTGCAAACTTGGCCAGCCTGCGTGAGAGGCCAGTGGGAGGGGACGGGAGCCGGCAGGGCGGCCTCACCCAGCTAATTGGCAAGAGGAGACTGTGTGGTGCGGTTCCAGCTGCGATGGGGGAGGCAACCAGCCCCTCTGCGGCCCATTTTATGAGGCTCACAGTCCTGGCAGGGGCCCTCTCCGGGGAGGACGGAAGGGAGGCCGGCCTGCCCAGCGGTCCCCACCACCACGGCCAGGAACGGCAGGGCTGCGAGTGTCCAGCA